AGTTATTACATGGATTGCACTTGTAATTTCTACAGGTAATTATTGAATAACACCAAACACAACAAATTCAGTGCTCCCATAGAAAACATTTGCCTTAAATATTTATATACACCTCGAAAAAAATATGTACTTTGGTACCTCAAGGAAAGGTGCATAATTGAAACATTGTGCGTATTTTGGACAAACCTTATTTCTTCTTTAGGAATTTACCAAATGCTCAAAACAAACTAACCATTATTTATAAAAAGCGCCCAAAATTAAAACTGTTATAGTACCAAATACTAATTAATGGATCAAGGAAAGTGAAACAGACTTGTTGACTCTGAATTTTTCCTGGCAAGAACAACCAGCTGCGCAAAAGCCATATAATTTGAACAACAGATCATTTTATAGACACTCACATGAATATAACAATTGAGAAACTACGACAGAGACCACTGTTGTTGCAATGCATCTTTACATATGTGAGCGATTATTGAGTTGCAAGAGTTTTAAATTAGTTCGTGTCCCAAAATACAATTTAGAGGATAGATCAAGGATTTTTTAACATTGTGTCATCGTAAATGACTTTAGGCAACGTTGATCTTACAAAAAGTACATTTTTGTTTGAATTACTGTGAAGTATGTATTAACCTAATCCCAGACAACTGGCATTTTTAAATACAAATACTCAGAGAGTTGTTCAATGATCAACCCATGATCTGTAATATATAAAAGAAAATTTGCTTTAAAATGTGCTTGAACAACACGGTGACAAAATCCACAGAGCATGAGTCGCGTGCACTGTCCACATATTTAATGAGAAATGGTTCCGTAACAGTTTAAGTTAGCTTAACGTTGCCTAGTTTAAAAGGGATTAAACATGCATATGTCAGTAGATGTTAGCCTTACAAATATAATGATGGATGTACAGCAAATATCCAATTGCAACATACTCGATACAGTAAACTACCAATAGTGAACTGATTTATAATTTAATAAAAAAAAAAAATTGAACCTAGATATTCAGCAATGATTTTGAAACGCGTGAATTGGAACATGTACTGAGCATGTCAGTGCACTCGCATAATCAAATGGATTCCACAACATGGTAAAGGAGCTCAGTCACGGTATTTTCAGTTGTTTTGACCACATACAAATTACCTTTAAATGGTAGGAAACCGGAAAATAACAGTTTAATAAGATAGAAAAGCACCAAAAAGATAATTATAACACATAAAGGAACAAGGATAGCCAAGAATGGAGAACATTGACAATGGAGAACATAATGTCTTGCGCAAGTCAACTTCCAACATTTACCAGAGTCGAATCAACAGCATTTCAACTCACCATGTCTAGCACAGTCGCGTTATAATTTATAAGTCACGCGCAAAAAGACTTCCGGTATGACAAATCGACAGCAACGGAGACGATTCGTGTCGTAATGATCTAATCGAGTGGAATCGACAACAACACAGCACACCTTTAATAGCCCAGGAATCGAATCGACTTCCGGTATGACGAATCGATAGCAAGGGACACAATTCGTCACGATTCGACAACATTTTCAACCCACCCTCAAAGCCCAGATGCGCTGTATTTTCTAAGTCTCGCGCAAATCGACT